GATCAAGCAGAGGGTGAGCTAGTGAACATTATCCTATTGGAAACTTAAATACAGAAGACAGCTGTCCAAGTACACTCTGTTTGCAGAAAGGTTCTTCCTCAACACCTGCAGTAAGCTTCCCATCCTCCGCAGCTTATCACATGAACTCTCTTATTTATCAGTTAAACCAAAGACTAGTGACTACACAGTGAAGTCATTGTTAAATCTGCTTATAAAGATGATAGAAACCAGTAAGCCATTTTCTCCACTAGGATCCTATACTACTGGTGTTAGAAGAGTAACCTTTCAGCAAGGTGGTGGTCAAACCCACAAAGATGCTAATTAAAACCTATTTTCAAATACAACATACAAGAGATGTAAAAAAACATTTGTTGAGCAAGAGCTTTGGGCCTGAACTAAACCAGTGCAGAGCAATGTTTTATGGAACACTAGTCTACTTTCTATGGAGAGAGGAGGCTGTATAGCTTGGATGGCCTTCATCCCAGGAGAACAGGAACCAATCTTCTAGGGGACAGACTAGTCAGGTGGGCATTAAACTAACAAAAGGGGAGGATGAAAGCAGGGAACAAATGATGTTGAAAACAAAAGGAATCAAGGAACAAAGGGATGTGAAGAGAAGAAATGCTATAATTGCCTATACATCAATGCCAGGAGCCTGGGTAATAAAGTAGAAATGGAATTGCTCATTTACAAGTGTATCATCTCACTTGTTCATATCACTGAAACCCAGTGGGAAAATTAGCATGATTGGAATGTTAAAACTAATGGTTATAAGTAGCTATTTAGGAAAGACTAAGCCCAGGTCTACACTAGTGGGGGGGTCGACCTAAGATACGCAACTTCAGCTACGCGAATAGCGTAGCTGAAGTCAGCGTATCTTAGGTTGACTTACCTGGCCGTGAGGACAGCGGCGAGTCGACCGCTCCCACTCCCCCGTCAACTCCGATTCCACCTCTCGCGAGCTGGAGTTCCGGAGTCGATGGGGAACGTGATCGGGGATCGATTTTATCGCATCTTCACTACCCAATCCGGCGGGTAGTGAAGACCTGCCCTAAGTGGACAAAAGGGGGTGGAGATTGGCATTCTGTCAAAACCAGCACTGCCTGCTTCCGAGTTACTGAGAAGTCAAAAGCAAGTGATCTTGAAAGCTTATGGATCAATGTTCTCTAACAGATTAAGGCACAAGATCGTTTATTAGCTGGTGGCTGCTACAGACCACCAAATCACAATGGAGAACAGGATGGCTGTATCCTTAAAAGACCTACCTATAACTTGGGGAGGACTTCAATTTGAATGACACATGCTCGAGGGTATCATGCTGCCAGTATTAAAACATCCTCAGAATTTTTAAAACTATAAATGACAATTTCCTAACTCAAAAAATTATGCATCCAATATGGGGAAAAATCTATAGTAGACCTCACCTTGACAAATGAAGAATTAGTCACAGAACTAAAATATTCAGAGATGCAAGTGATTATTAACAAATGCAATCAAATCATAATGTCCAAGCCAGTAATATAGATAAGTAATGTTTTAAAAGGCTAATTTCACAAAGATGAAGATAACTCAGTCAAATCAGCTGGAAGAAAGAATTTACATACAAAAATGTGAATGATAATTGGGAACTGTGTAAGAACTTTTAACTAAATGCTCAAAAAGTCAACTGAGAAAGATGGTTAACAATAACAGGAGTACTTGTGGCACCTTAGAGACTAACAAATTTATTAGAGCATAAGCTTTCGTGGGCTACAACCCACTTCTTCGGATGCATATAGAGTGAAACATATATTGAGGA